CAAGTAAATATACTACTTTTACCTTAATCTTTTTTTTCTTAACTTTTTCCTAAATTTTTAAGAGGTTAAGTTGAGTTTTAGCACAAATGCACAACACAGCCAGTTAGTGCATGGAACAGAGTCGGTTAAAGGCTTACTTAGGTATATGGATAGTAATTTCCCGTTTAAAGCCGCACGATAGTTAGGGTTAAGCTCTCGGCCTATGACAAATATATGTTTTATTTAGATTTGTGGCAAAGGTACTTAATATAAATAAATATATATATGAAAATTTTTAAATAACTAAATTAAGTGAGTGACTAACTAAAATACTCCATATATGAGTTGGTATTTTTCATACAAAGTTCATATTGGTACCATAAGTTTAGATTTGATAATTTAAAACAAGATATAATAACAAGATACGAATATAATATGAAAATAAGACATAAAAATAATATGATTTAAAATTTTAGTAATAATTATATATAAATTTAACAAATTAAAAAAATATATTTTATATTTTTTTGACACAAATTGTGACATATAATTTTTATATAAAATATGATATGAATACATAAACTTTAATATTTTATACGATACGAATATATGAATCCTCAAATCTACGTAAGTTAATACATATTATTGCTAGGAAAAAAGTATCAATATTTATTGTCAGCATATGGTATGATATAATAACTTTGATAGTGTTTCTTATACAATATTTAATACAAAAAATATTTATGATAGGTAAGATACATACATACATACATACCTAATGTATCATATTCATATTGTTAGACAAAACAGAGAAAATTCAACACTCCTTGATAAAAGATTTTCAAATTAATTAGGACATTGTTTCACAATTATTTCTCTAATGATATGAGAAGTTGAAGGCATCAAATTATTGAAAAATATACATCAATTGTGAAAAAATGAAATATGATATTTTTGAAAGTTTTGAGATTGAATTAAATTAAAAAAAAAAAGAAATATTATGATTATAAATAAAAATAAATTAATTTATAAAAAATCAAAAATAAATATTAAAGTTAAATTTAAAAATAAAATATAGAAGAAAGGAAAAAAATGAATAAATTCAACCTTACTTAAATAAGGAAAGGTCATTTTAGTCATCTAAACAATTTAGTCAATAATTATCTAAATTATCAGTGAATTCAAATACAAAAGTAATTAACTTTTGTTTTATGCATTTTATGAGCCTTGTAATGCTTTTGGCATCCGTTGGCATTTGCAATTCAATAATTTTCATTCACTTAAAATATTCAACAATTCATTTCAAAAAAAAAAATCAACAATTAAATAAAGGTAACTTCATTCACTTAATTTATTCATTCAACAATTAAATAAAAGTCAAATTGCTAATAACTTTGTGGAATGTGTAAAGAATGACTTTTATAAATAACACTAGCCGCTTAATATTTAGATAAAATGTTTAATTTTTAATTTTAATTATTAAAATTTAATTTTTAATAATTAAGAGTGAATTTTATTAATAATCCTTTTAGAACTTCAACTCATATTCTATATATAAATATATATATATATATATATATACTTAATTTGATTTCAATTGATTTTAAAAAGTCAACAATTTAATAATTATTTAAAATCTAAAATGAATGAACATAATCAAAATTTGAATTGAAAAAAATAATTCAATTAGAATCCAATATTTTCTTATTTAAACTTTTTTCTTTGAACTATTTCACATTTTTAAATAAGCTCTTATATCATTTAATTTGTATTCAAATCAGAGATTGATTTATATGAAGGACTGATTTAGATACAAATTTAAAAATTAAGAGTTTGTTTAGATACAAATTAAAACTTATGGGTTTATTTAAGTGCAAATTAAAAGTTATGAATTTATTTAGGTACAATAAAATTATAGATTTATATAAGCGGTAAAATTTAAGTTTTTGTTGTTTTAGCCTAATTTTTTATATTAAATTTAATAACGATAATTAATTTGATGAATTTTAATACTTTTAAACAAATATTATCTAATATGATAATCTTAAAAATTTTGATATAATAGTTAATATTATTAAACTGATACAATAGAGAAAATAAAAGAATATACAATATATCTTCTGATAAAAGAGTTTCATATTAATTCTAAAAAATTTTGAAATCATTATATTTGCATATTCTTCATTAAAATACTATATAGTACTAATCTTGTTTGTTATATTTAGAAGATAGACTAATGTATAACCAGTCAATCTTTTATTTTATTTTTTGTTTGGAATAATATTTTATTGGTGCTTTCATTGATTGAATATAATTTTACATTTCACTAATTGAAAGCTTAAATTTTTTATTTGAAAATTTTTATTAAATTAAAACATTAAAATACATCATTTTAGAACTTAAAATGAAATAAAATAATTTTCTAACATTGATACTTGTCATTTTTTTTAATGAAATTCTAATTCTCAAATTAATAAATTTGTTACATAGCATTGATACAATTTATAATGATTTCATTTCTAGTATTAATAATATAAATTGGTATGAATGAATTTAACATTGGCAGTGGCCAAAAAATATGATATTGTTATAAATATATTAAAAAAACAGTTCCAATGATTTTTATCACACCTTAAAATATTTTTTCAAAAACAATTAATTTTATTTCATTTGATAATTCTCTACTTAGATAATTATATTAAGAAATTAATCACTTTTAACACTTTTGAAGTTTGCATTTTAAATATTAAAAAATAATTATATTTACTTTATTCAAATAAACAACAAATTCGCGGTTTATATTAGTTAGATGCATATTATCATGTGAGGAAAAAATCTTGTAGGAAAGATATGTGATATATATAATTATATATGTATGTATATCTATTAAGATCAATTAAATATAAAATTTAGTTAATTTTTTAAGTTTAAATTAAATAAATTTAACTATATATAAAAATACAATTTTAAAGTACGAACAAATAATGAAAATAATATTTGTTTAAAGGTTGATTATTTGTCAACCTTTATTTTAATTGTAAGATACACTTTTATTTTTTTTTAAATTCTAACAATTTAATATAAAATAAAAATCAATAACGAAATTATTGAAATAATAATGATAAAAATAAAAACAAACGTTTAATATTAATAAAAACTTTAATAATATAAAATATTTAAATTAAAATTTATTAAAAATTTAATAAAGGAGAAATTAATAATAAAAATCATTTAAATTAAAATTATTAAAAATATTTTATTGAAATTATTTTAATCACTCAATTTTAAAACTTTAAAAATTAAAATTTTATTACGAATATTTAATAGATTACTCTTAACACTTTTAAAATTTACATTCTTATCCATAAATTATATATAAATTGACATTCAATAAGATAAATAAGACTTAAAAATAACATTAAGAACCAAAAACAATCCAAATGAGGTAAAAAAAAAAAAAAAGACAGAGCAAAAAGAGGACAAGAAACCGAAGTCATCTTGAAAGCACCCAAAAAAAAAAAAAAAGAGCAGACGTTTACATAAAGGAGAAATAAGAAAATTCATCAAAAGAGGAAAAAAAAAATAAAACACAGTGTTTAAACTTAAATAACTGACGTGACGCACTAAATTTAAATTGTAAATAATATTTTTAATAAAATTTTTACATAGTATTAATTTTTTCATTAAATTTTATTAATCTATCAATTATAATATTCACAAATTTTATCTAAAAAATTTCATATAAATTTTTTTCTTGAAATTTGATTATATTTTGGAATTTCCCATTTACATTATGAGAGAAAAAAATTTGAACATGATTCTTCTTTCCCAATCTCTTCACTTTAATTTATTTCTTACCAATCTTGCAGCCAATCGAACGGAAGGATTATTGTCAATTCCCATGATTATTGGTACGTTGCTTATTTAATTTTAAGGACTCAGACTTCGCAATTATCAAGGAAATTGAACCTTCCTCGTAGTCGAGTTTAATCTCGTGGATTGGTTTGAAACTTCGAGTGAGGCAGCCAATAACGAAGATGACAAAGGGGTACAGTGAAAGTTACTAATCTCTCCCTGTGTGCATCTTGATATCTGCCCGGAAAAAGACCGGACAGAGCAATCAAGGTGACGCAACCTTGTATTGGATATTCTTGTCCGATATAAAGTTATCATTTGATATTGAAAATTGTTAATATCTATCAGATAATATTTTAATTTTTTTTAAAAATAATATATATTAATATAAGTTATTTTGATATATTATTTTAAATTTTTTAATTTAATACAAATATATTTATAAATATATATAAATTTTTATATTATAATATTATTAATAATTTATAAAATAAATATATAATATATTCAAAAATCAAATAAATAAGTTTAAAAGCATAAGAAATAATATCATTAATTTTTTTATGATATTTTTAAATACTTAATCTGATCATATGATATTTAAATAAATATTTTTTCATATAAATATTAAGATAAAAATAAAGAGATGAAAAAAATTAATCAAAGTTTTATAATTGTTAAACTTTATAGAAGAAGTATAATTGCTTTCTTGAAAAAAAATTAAAATACTTATAAATTTAGGTTTGAAATAATAAAATTATAAATTATAAATTTTGGTCTGAAAAATAAAATATAAAAAATAAAACAAAAAATAAAAAAACTTAACTTTTAAAGATTATTTTATCAATTAATTTTATTTTTATTAGATTAAAAATAGTTAAATAACAAAAAATAAATTAAATTTTATAAAATATATTTTACCTTTTTATATCGGTCGAAATATGTTATTTTATTGAAATTCATCGAAATAGACCGAAACTAACGAAAATAATCAATATTATCCGATATCAAATTTGATACAAAAAATTATCTTTAAATATATTATATTTTGATATAACTAAAAGATACTAATCAATATAAAAATAAAATTACCATCTATGATCTCGGTTTAGCAACAAATACAATACTGTTTGATAACATAACTGACGTCAATGAAAAAGAAAGCTATAAATCATAATTCTAACAATGATTACAAGTAAAGACCACCAATGCAATGCAGCAACTTCAAATCAATATAGTTACAGGGATGGCACTTTAGTAAATTGGGGTCCAAAGCAAGACAGGCTCTATCTAGAAATATGCTTGGTATGACCAATTCTGGTGGTGGTGGTGGTGATGGTACCTACAAGCTTCTCACAAGCAACTTCGAGGAAGGAGGACAATTTTCACTGACAGAAAAAGCCACAACTTAAAGGAAACAATTGCCAGCAGAGATAACCTGCTCAAACAACTTCATTTTTTTATCCGCACCTTTAATTTGTTCTCATCAGCACTCTTTCCTCGAACGTTTCTTCCCTTCTCCCCCCTTAGCTTTATTCTCTTTTCATCACATATAAATACCCCCCAACCTATTCCACTTCTGTTGTACCAAGCTGATTTCCATTTCATCAAATCATAAAAAAACAAATAGCTTCTTTTTACGTTTAATAAAAATGGCAGCTCAAAACAGTGTAGTGTTCGAAGATTTTTTCCCTGCCATGGTTGAGAAATTGGGTGCTGAAGGTTTTATGAAGGAGCTGTGTAACGGGTTTCAGTTGCTTGTGGATGGAGACAAGGGAGTGATCACTTTTGAGAGCTTGAAGAGGAACTCGGCATTGCTTGGTTTGCAAGATATAAGTGATGAGGAGGCGATTTGCATGTTGAGAGAAGGTGATTTGGATGGGGATGGTGCTTTGAATGAGATGGAGTTTTGTACCCTCATGCTTAGGTTGAGTCCTGAGTTGATGAACACTTCAAGAAAATTATTGGTAGAAGCTATTGTCAATTTCTAGACCGTTTATCACTATGAATTAAGATTTTGTACCATTAGAAGTACTTCATTTCGCTTTTATTTTCATCATTTTTGTCCCCATCATTCGCCTATTATAAGCAGTGTTTTCTGCAATTTAGCAAGAGTCCTAGTAGTACACTTCATTTTCTCCTATGCGAAATTAAGAGGCCCCGTATATTTATCTTGCTTAAAACATTGGACCAATTTTGCGATCACTGCACCCAACCATTTTCCAATAGGTAATAAGATGGATCAAACTAGATTGGCCCAATTCCAAAAATTTGTTTCCAAGCAACTTTTACTGAAACTGAAAGCGTTATTCAGGTCCAAAGATACTTGTCATTACCTCTCCGAAATTGTTGATGAGATGCTCATAATGTGGGCTAAACAAAAATGTGGGTAACAAACTGGAGTTCTTATTTCACTTTCCCAAAAAACAGCAGACAGCAACTGCACAGCAATAGTTGTATGCTTGAATCTCATTTAAAACGAACAGGAAAGTTTTCTGCTTAGTTATCTGATTGTCTGACAGTCTGAAGAATATTTTCGTCATGTCCATTTCCATTTCTTGTGCTTAGATTAGCCTATCTTATTATTACTAGTAGAAATTAGAAACCCAAGCTGGAAAAAGAATATTGTTGTCAATCTGCTAAGGCACAAAAGACAGCAAACAGAGACAAACACCTAATGATAGTGTGTCTGTCCAAACCTTATTTTAACTTTGACATTTCTAGTTCCAGGGCAACAATTTGAATTGAAAAAAGCGTAGCATATATTTAGCTAATTGCTAACCATTGCAGACTTGCAGTTCCAAAAGTACCTTAATCAACGCTCATCGCTTACTGCCAAGAGACCTTAAAATTATATCGCTCGATCTAAAGGATCTACAAATGTTGCTGCTAATATAATTAATTTGATGTTGTTGATCGTATTAACAATAATATAGCGTAATTCTTTGGCATTATACCTGAAGCCAGCAGTGATTAAAAAAAGAGAAATGATCCGAAAATATATTTGGTGATCATGGGTCAACTGCAGATAAAAGAGACTAAACCCTGACTGCCGAATGTTTGAATATTCTTTTTCTTGGAAGAAATCTTATCAGACAGTTTACACTTTGTGTCCCCATTGTCTCTTTTCTTCACCACCTCCATTGCTGATGATGACACCGCTGCCATAATTACTTTCGTTGATAACTGTTTACTTGATACAGTGTAACATTTATTATCACTGTTTGAGGTAAAAGGATTACTTTTGTTTGGTAAATGCAGTAGTTACATGTCCCCTAAATATGCAATGAAAGAGGGCAATTTTCTGAAAAACGTGAAGTGTTTAGCTTTGGGGTATTAGTCTTAGAGATTGTTAGTGGAAGAAGAAACAAAAAGTTTCATAATGGTGAGAATTCTTCCAGCCTTATGGAACATGTAAGTGTTAGAAAATTTAAGAAAACGGAAATAAAAGAAAGATAAAATATAACTTTGAGGCGTGAAAAATATTATTTTAAAAGTAATTATGCCTATAAGATATAATAAAATTTTAAAAAAATTTTCAAATCAAAAGTAGTTAAAATTATTCAAGCAAAAATATTTATTTATAATAAATGAATAGTTACCAAGTAATTTAATTTAAAAGGTCAGACATTCTGTATAATCATGTTTTTATGTTTAAATAGATTTTATTTAAATAGTCATGTCTTTCTTTTCAGATATATTTATTCAGAATAAAAATAAATTTTAGTAATATTTCAAAATAAAAAAATTAAAAATTAAATCTATTTACTAAATAAGCCCACTAAGAAAATTGTCCAAGTGTCTATCTTTGATTTTTAAAATTATTTGACTCACTAAGAAAACTCTTAACAAACTTAAATAATTTGACCTACTTCAACACTTAACTCAATTATTTAAATAATATAAGTAATCTCTTTTAAAGTACATATAAATAATCTTTTTATTCAATATAAAATACATCACATTATAAACTACTAATAGTAAGTCTAACTGATTCAATGATTCAATCACGCAAGTTCCATATCTAGTTCATTATCTTACAAGTACTAATTAACATGTAGCAGTTTCATAGTCGAGCTAACGTTTGCACTTTTCAGGCCTATAGATTGTGGAATGAAGATGAGATTTTGGTGTTAATCGATCCAGTGGTCTCTGATTCATGCTTTCGTAGGGAAATTTTGAGATGCATACATGTTGGACTTCTGTGCATTGAAGATTTGTAAAACATAGACCAAACATGTCTACTGTTGTTTCAATGCTTGGCAGCTAGATTGAGAACATTCCTACTTCGAATAAATGAGGCCCAGCATTTACTTTGTTGGAAACTAAGTACCATTTATCACTCTTAGGTAAACCAAAAGGGGTATTCTATAACAATGACTAACAATTCAGGAACAACTTGCTGATCACTGTAACTGATATCTAAAAAAAAAAAAAATCATTCTTTCAATTACATTTTGAATAAGAAAGGCGAATTGATCATAGTGAAAAGTATTGAAGAGATAAACCACACTTGGAGTTCATTGGAGCATACCAGAGAGCTCATATATATATGTTAGACATCTCTTAAGCCCAAAAGCTTAAGTTATTAGGTTTTTAGATCTTTCATGTATATATAAGACATCTTATTTAGATTTTCTAATAGTATGAGATTTTTTACTCACATATGAACCATATCCCAATAATCTCATCCGTTTACTTGTGAGTTTTGATCAAGTCTCACTTTGATTCTCCCGTGCGAGTAAGCCTTATCAATACCTTTTTTAGACCAGGCAACCCACATCTCTAGTACGCTTTTAGGCCAAGCCATAGCACTCAACCTTGCCACCTAGGTTGTCTCAGTGCTCCATCGTACTTACAATCCAAGTTGACTCAACACATCACTCACTTGAGTGTTCTACTTCTGCATATTATCATATACTCACAGTATCCAAGTCGAACATTTTAAATATCAATGTTGGAGCACATGGAGTTGATGGATGCGATCAACCTCTGATCTACCAACAATCTCTCCCTCAGTAATACCATTGAAACTCAAACCCGTAATCTTACTCTAATACCACTTGTTAGGCTTGAAGCAATAAACACAACAATGTAAAAGCAATATATCGTAATAAACCTATAGTAATAGACAATAATTAATAATCAACAATACAGAAAAAATAAAGCACACTAAGATTTAAGTGAAAAATCCTTCAGTTTAGAAGAAAAAACTATGGACCACTAGAAAAAATCTTCACTATCAAATAATGGATATACAAAATTCTTTTCTCACTAAAACTAGAGCTAATCAACAACTAGAGAGATAATTAGAGAAATCTTATCAAATAGGTGATTTAATAAATACACTCTAGATTTGTGCCTTGAGAGCTTCAAACTCAATCTTCACCGTTCTGAATGTAGAACTCTGAATCATAAATCTGTTGATAAAATTTTAACTCAATTGGATCACGAATCGATTTCTTTTCAACCAACTCTTCATTCTTCATTTTCTTTATATTTTTTGGCTTTGCTTTTTCTCTCTTTCTTTTTTTTCACCAAAACCAGCCCTTACTTTTTATTATGTAGGGCTCTCTTAAGAAAGCCCAAAACACAAGGCCCATGGCCTTTGAATAGTCAAATAACAAATGGGACTGGATCTCACATATCTTAACAATATCCCCCTTCAGCCCCATTAAGAGGAGATTCATTACCATAGTAATTTCATTTGGAACTTACCTTAGTCGAGAAACTCATTCTAGTCGAGTTATTGCATAGCTTAAGCTTCTCCTTATGAAGTATCTTAGTCAATATATTTGTTATATCTCATTAGTATGGATTTTTTTTAATATTATCTGTTATTTCTCAATCACTAAATGTAACCAGTGATATATCTAACATTAATGTGCTTCATTCTAGAATGGTATATGGTATTCTTACTCAAATCTAAAGCACTTTGGCTATCATAGAATATCACATACTCTTTTTGATTTAACCCTAATTTAAGAAAAAATGTTTCATCCAAAGTATTTTTTTACCTGCTTCGATTGCTATAATATACCTAGCCTCTATAATTGACAAAGTAACATAGTTCTACAACTTAGACTGTCAAGACACAACTCCTCATGCAAAAGTGAATAAATATCTTGAAGTAGATTTTTTATATCAAGATTACCTGTCATGTCAGCATCAATAAACCCTTTTAGAACTAGTTGTGAAATTTCATAACTTAAGCACATTTTTAAGGTGCCCCTTAAATATATGAAAATCTATTTTACTACTTTTCAATGAATATTTCTTGGATTAAAAAGAAATCTGCTCACTACACCAACTGCATGAGCAGTGTCAGGCCGTGTACAAACTATAAGATACATTAAAAAACCAACCACAGAAGAATAAAAAATATTAGACATAGCTAGTTGCTCTTCTTTAGACATCGAATAAGATTTTTTACTTAGATAAAAATGGTTGATAAAAAGATTACTAACTTATTTAATATGTTGCATGTTGAATCTACTAAGTACTCGTTTAACATATTTTTCTTATGACAACCATAGTTTTTCAGCTCTCCTATAATAGATAATGTTCGTATCTAGAATCTGTTTTGCTGGACCTAAGTCCTTCATATCAAATGACTTAGATAATTATTTTTTCAACATGCGAACCATACCAACATGTTATCCCACAATCAACATATCATCAATATATAATCAAATAATAATAATGTTACCACTAGAGAATTTTTTGACATGCATACAAGGATCTATTGTTGTTTTTTTATAGCTGTGGTTCATCATAAAAGATCAAACTTTTTATATCACTATTGCGGAGCTTGTCTCAAGCCATATAAGCTTTTTTTTTAGTTTACAAACTAACTTCTCTTTTTCTTTTACTTTAAAACCCTAAGGCTGATTCATATAAATATCTTCCTATAAGTTACCATGCAAGAATGTAGTTTTAACATCGAGTTACTTAAGCTCAAAATTTAAACTAGCTATTAATCCCAGTACCACTCAAATGGAACTCATCTTCACAATTAGAGCGATAATCTCATCAAAATTGATGCCTGATTTCTGAGAAAAATTTTTTACCATCAATTGAACTTTGTACCTCATAATTTGTCACCATCTTTTTTTAACTTGAATACCAATTTATTCTTTAATGGCTTCTTCACTTTTAAAAGTTTAACAAGATCATATGTATCATTTTTTCGTAATGACTCCATCTTTTTTTTCATCACTTTTAACCAGTGCTTTCTATTTCAAGTAGCCTACATATCTTGAAAGCTTTCTAGCTCCCTTTTACTGATAATTAAAACAAAATCTGAACTTAGATACCTGATAGATGGCTTGTACTCTTTAGTAGATCTTTTAGGTCGAGACTTTACATCACTTGATACGAAATGTAGCTCTCTTTACTCAACATTTTTTTATGGAAAAGATTGCTCTCCTTATTCAAAACTGATTGCATTTGGCTTATTACTAACTGTGGTTGGTACATTCATGTCTTCAATTTTTATTTTTTGCTCATTTTCACTATTTGTAACCTTTCTTATGAAACCCCTATTAATGTTGAAACATCACACTCAATAGTAACCTATGTAGTCTTCTCATTTTTCTCAAGGTCTACTATAATTTTTTTTTCATAGAAGATCACATATCTATTTCTGATCGTCTTCCTCTTCACTGGATCTCATGCCCTGTAATCAAATTTCTCATCACCATATCCTACAAATACACATTATATAGCTTTACTGTCAAGCTTTAATATCTGCCTTTTAGGCACATGCAAAAATGTTTTATCCCTGAAAACTTTGAAGTGAGAGTATGAAATATCTTTCCTTATCT